CAGGCTCCCTGCCGAGCAGGGAGCCCGATGCGGGACTCGATCCAGGGACTCCAGGATCATGACCTGAGCCGAAAGCAGTCGCTTAACCAACTGAGCCACCCAGGCGCCCCAAAAATGTAAAATTTCTTACCTTTAGTTTTCTTCTAGCATTAAATTTCTTTAAGCAGTCTACAGTTTCCTGTCTGTGCATCATGGAAGCAACAGTAGAACGTTGCTGGAAGAGGAAGAAAAGAAACTTAGGATATTTAAAACATACTAAGCATTACAGTATCTCAACTTCATCAAAACTGCATTAATGGTGCCTGAACCCATATGATGAACTTGTGAGTATTCACCTGCAAAAAAAATTCCCTAATAACGGACGACTAGTTTTGCCAAGACTATTTGTAATGAAGGTGCAACATTTATCTATAGAAAGTATAGAAATGAATATCAATAATTCCCCAAATTATCTGTATTTCAATGTCTTTAATTATATTTCTATTGGACTGTCTTTCATTTACTTAGCACCATATTTACTGCCCTAACATTTGATACTTAATCCTAGAAATGTACTGAAATCTCTACATTCCCCCCAAATTTCAGTTTTTCTTAGCACATCTAAAATATATTCAGGCTACTATGGCCATTCTTTCTTGCTAGTATAACTTCACTACAAGCTTCTAAACCTTATTTTTCTCCCTAAAGCTGCCTAATGATAAATAATTGAACTCTGTCTAATATTCTCTACTGGGATATAGTTAATCTTGGTGTCACTTTCTTGACCTCTGTTCATGAGTATTATCAATAACTGGTAGGGGAAATACTCATTCCTTGTATTATTGTAGGCAATATTTATCAATCTATGTAAATCAGATTTTGTTACCCCAAACAGCAATTATCAGCATTACAAATTTATTTTCTTAAATACCTTGAGTTAAAAATGCATTCATTTTTAGTTTCATCTTTTTCTGCAAAAATTATTTTAAATCCATGAAAAATATTTTAAAGAAAATTTATTTTTAATTTTGCTCCTAAGGTCTTTAGAGAACTGTCACTTACACAGATCCATGGGTGTTTCAGTGCCTCTGAGGCTGTGATACGCTTGGCAGGGTTGATAGTAAGCATTTTATTGATTAGGTCTTTGGCTTCAGGAGTCACTGTGTCCCACTCTGGTGATGGGAACTTCAAAAACACAAATTTATAAAGAGTTTAAAAAACAGATACACTCAAACAGGGAAGAGCCAAGTAAACTAATCATTTTCTTAAGTGGTGAATTTCTTCATAAATTTACTTTTTGTAGAAGTTAAACTGTATCTACAAATAGATAAATTGACAGATAAATCAATGTAGATGTATATATCTCCCTCTCTTTCTATATATTAAAGAAAAGTAACCAATAAGGGATAAACACATATTCTAAATTGCATATTATACCTAGTACATACATTTTAAAATTTAGAAAGATAAACTTCTAGTCCCCTCAAAGCATCCTTATTTTGGTTTGAAAATAAAATTTTATGCAATATTTCTCATAATTATTTGCAAACATCAATAAAGCTGACAGTCTGTCACATGTATTGATGTCATCATGCTATTACACCAAGATTCAAAAGGAGGTATTACAGAAAAACAATGAGCTATTACGTACTTTCACAACTCATGAGCAGTAATAGTAGAGATCATAACACAGCTTCCATTACCTGCGTCAAAACTGACTTACTACTTGTGGCTATTTGTCATATAGTACTGAGAAGAAATCTCAACCTACAAGAGCCTTTGCAGGACTTCATTTTAACACCTCAGAAAAGTTAATCTACTTAATTACAAATTTCATCAAAGCAAAGTTCTTGAAAGGAACCAATATTCACAACTTCTCTTAGTAAGCCATTTGTGCACTAATACCTGTATAACAAAACCATTTATTCTAAGTTTCTTTTGTTGCTAAAAATGCAACCTCATTTCTATATAATTTATTAGTAGAAATACTATCCTTGATAGGTTTGGAAAAATTTACATCCCATCAGTTTCTAAACAACAGACAGAATATCAGGTCCTTTTCTCAATTCATGAATTTTTATAGACAATCTTGAAACAAATGCTACTGTCACTGTGTCCTGGACTTTAGTTCACTTTCAGTAGTTATAAAATGGGTACTTTGCGACCCATTGGCAAAATGAAATATGAGAAAAATGATAGTGACTCTTTAACTTCAAATTCTGCCAGTTTAACAGCTGTCATTTTAATTCCAAAAGTTATTTTGGGCAGCTGTAAAAACTTGCTAATGATTAGGAGCTACTGAAGAAATATTCAAGGCTGTTCCTTCATGATGTACAGATCTTCCGACAGCAAATTGGGAGCTGGTTCAGCCTGAATAAAGGTGGACCTTTTTCTCATTTTTAAAAATTTTAACAAAGTCACTCCTTCACATTCATCAAACAGTGCATTTGCAGAGCTGTATCTCCCCAGGGGGGTGCCTCCCTGTAGTCTGTAAAGATGATGAATGTGCTAGCTGTGGCCCCGTAAATCATAATTTGGTCCAATTATTAGTCTGACTAAAATGGAATTCTTCAAAATTAAAAGAATATACATTTTAAATTCTTGTGATACACACATCCATAGTAGAACATTTTAACAGAAATGCCATGCTGAGCTCATGAGACCTGATAAAATAAAATATAGACTTTTTAAATTCCTTTCACTTCCACATTGAGCTTTTAACTTGGGCACAGCAGGTGGACCCAATATTGCCTATTTCTTAGTTACCCCGCTGCATGGAGCACTGGGTGTTATCGAAAACAATGAATTGTGGAACACTACATCAAAAACTAATGATGCACTGTATGGAGACTAACATAACATAATAAAATTAAATTAAAAAAAAAAAAAGGAAAGCATCATCAGACCTTGAACTCTAATTTCCAGAGAGCTGGCTATGTGAGGTGTACCCAGAGGTGGTGGTAAATCATATTTACAGATATATTTGTTAAAGGAGAGAAAATTATATCAATGAACAAAGTTAAGTCAAAAAGAGAAAATAGATAAGGCCTTACTTCTTTCCCTAGGAGAGAGAAAAATAATAAGAGAAATTGTTGAGAATTAGTTAAAATTGTAATGAAAAAATTTGGTTCTTGGTCAAAAAACAAAAACCAAACACTCATCTACAGTTATATGAACATTTATTACATACATCATAAGCTCCAGCCTTGATCTGCTGATAGAGTCTGTGTTGATCTTCATCCCAGAAGGGTGGATATCCCACCAGGAGGATATAGAGAATGACACCTGGACAGAATGAGCATATTAACATAATGTTTAATCATTCAGGCAACAGTAAGTTAAATGTGGCAGATCCACAATGACACTAAGCCATACCCATTCAAAGAGGACACTGGGTATTTGGAAAACTTCAGAAAGACATTCCCTGATCTACTCTGAAGCATTCGGTGGAGCGTGAATTCTCCTGTTCTTATGCTCAAGAACTCTGATAATATGTGGCAGTTCGAAACATAAACCAAAGAATTCTATGTGCACTTGAAAAGAATGTGTATTCAGTTGCTTTTGGATGGGGTATTACATATATATCTGTTATGTTTAATGGGTTGTTCAAGGACAGTATTTCCTTGTTAACTTTAGGACCAAAGAATTCTAAAGAGGTATAGCAGGTCAATACCTAAAGATGAAACTCATCTGTCATTGGGATGGCATACTCTTTGGTGTCCCTGATTAAGACTTGTTTTGTGGCCTAACATACGATCTTTCCTGGAAGAGGTTACATGTGCACTCAAGAAGAATGTGTATTCTGTTGCCTTTGGATGGAATATTCTGTATACATCTGTTAAGTTCATCTGGTCTAACATGTTTAAGATCAATATTTCCTTATTGATTTTCTGTCTGGATGATCTATCCACTGATGTAAATAGGGTATTAAAATCCCCTACTATTATTGTATTGCTATCTATTTCTTCTTTTAAGTCTGTTAATATTTGTTTTATATATTTAGATGCTCCTATATCGGGTGCATAAATATTTACAAATGTTACATCTTCTTGTTGGATTGACCTCTTTATCATTATGTAATGCTCATTTTTGTCTCTTATTTCAGCCTTCGTTTTAAAGCCTGTTTTGTCTGATATAAGTATAGTTACTCCCGCTTTCTTTAGGTTTCCATTTGCATGAAAGATCTTTTCCCATCCCTTCACTTTAAGTCTATGTGTCCTTACAGCTGAAGTGAGTCTCTTATAGGCAGTGTAAATTTATTTTTGCCTTTTTTTTAAAATTGTTTTCTGACTCTTTTTGTAGTTCTCTCTGTTCCTTTCTTCTTCTCTTGCTCTCTTGTGGTTTGATGACTTTCTTTAGTGGTATACTTCTATTACTTTCTCTTTCTCTCTTCTGTATTTACTGTAGGTTTTCACCTTGTGGTTACCATGAGGCTTACATATAACAAGTTCTAATTATAACTGTCTATTTTAAGTTGATAACTTAAGTTTGATCCTATGCTAAAGCTTACATTTTTACTCTTCCCTGTCCCATGCTTTGTTTTTGATGTCACATTTTACTTCTGTATCCTGTAGCTAATTATCACAATCATAGAATTTTTACTACCTTTTTCTTTTAACCTGTATACCAGCTTTATAATCGATTAATCCACTACTTCTACTATGTAATTACCTTTCCAGTGAGATTTATTCTTCCATATGTTTTCTTGTTACCAATTAGCAAACTTTCTTTTCAGTTTAAAGAAATCCCTTTAACATTTCTAGTAAGACTGGTTTAGTTTGATGAACTCCTTTAGTTTTTGTTGTATGAAAAACTCATGATCTCTCCTTCAATTTTGAATGACTTTGCTGGGTAGAATATTTGTAATTGGAAGTTTTTTTCCTTTCAGCACCTTGAATGTTTCATGCCACTCCCTCTGGCCTACAAAGTTTCTGCTGAAACACTTATTATGGGGGTTCCTTGGCATACAACTAATTGTTTTTCTCTTATTGCTTTTAATATTTCCTCATCTTTAACTTTTGACATTTTAATCATAATGTGTCTTGATGTGGGTCTCTTTGATTTCATCTTATTTGGAAATCTCCGGGCTTTCTGGATCTGGATGTCTGTTTCCTTCCCCACTTCCTTCCTTAACTTCCTTAAGGAAGTTTCTAGCCATTATTTCTTCAAACAAGTTTTTTGCCTCTTTCTCTCCTTCTTGTGGGACCCTTATAATGTAAATGTTGGTCTGCTTGATGTTGTTGCATAAGCCCCTTAAGTTATCTTCATTTTTTTTCTTTTTCTTTCTTTCTTTTTTTTTTTTTTGCAGCTGTGATTGGGTGAGTTCCACCAGCAGCTTGGATTCACGTTAACTGATCCTTCCTTCTACTTTATGTAATCTGTTGTTGAACCTCTCTAGTATGTTTTCCAGTTATTGTATTCTTTAGCTCTGTGACTTCTATTTTGTACTTTCTTTTATTTTCCATCTCTTTATTGAAGCTCTCACTGTGTTCATCCATTCTTTTCCCATGTTCAATGAACATCTTTATTAGCATTACTTTTAGCTCTTTATTAGGTAAATTACTTATCTGCATTTTATTAAGGATTTTTTTTTGTAAGGTTTTATCTTATTCTTCCATTTGGAACATATTCTTCTTTTTTTTTTTCATTTTACTTGACTCTGTGTTGATCTATAGAGTAGATAAAACAACCCCCTCTCCTTGTGTAGAAGATGAACCTTGTCTTTCAACTCTGCTCCAACTCTGTCGTCTCTCAAACCTTTGTTCTTATCCAAAAAGCCTACTATATTTTTATTAGCTCTCAGTAGGTAAGGATGTGACAAGACCTGTCAGTGACTGAAAGGGGAGATGCTCAGTACCTAGATTCACACTGTTTGGAAGCCAGACCCTCAGGTAGCAGCTTTTAAAATCATGCAAATATGTACAGTCCTGTGGGACCACAAGCATAAGCCCCATCGGCCAAGCAATTTGGTGGCCCCCTGCATGACAGTCACAAAAATTGGGGCTGCAGATGAATGTATAATCTCTTTTCTGAGAGATACTAGCAAAGCTGGAACAAGGCAGAAGGACAGTGCCAAGATGGTGCCTACAACCTACATTCCTTGAGAGTAGCTCTTAATCTACTAGGTATGTACCAACCCTGAAGCCTGCTCCTCAGGGCAAAGTTCTAGGACAAGCCAAGAGGCCCCCTTCACAGAAAGACTAGAAGGAGGTATGCCTCAATCTGCTATCTGTGCAGTGTCCTGGGATGGCAGCCTGCCAAGAATTTTTTCTTCAATTGCCAGTCCTGTGGAACCCAGGAATGCAAGTCCCCCTGACCAGCCAGGCAATCAAGGGGCATACCCTGGGGGGCAGATGCAAAAACAGGGCAGCAGATGTAAAAACCAGGACATCAGCTTCGTGCAAAGCTTCCCTCCAGGAGACACTGGCACTCTGGAGTGTGGCAGAGGGAGAGCATGAAGAAAGCAGTGCTGAGGTCTCTGGTAAGATTATAGTCATTCCTTAGATGTGTGTTTAATTAGAAACCTGCCCCTCAGACTGCAGCCATAGTTTTTAGTTAATAGGCCCCCTTCACAGAAAGACCAAGCTCCTAGGTTTGTTGCCTCTCGCTGTGTGGTAGAGGTGGTGGCTACTTAAGAACTATCTCTCCATCAGTTACAGTCCTATGGGACCCACAAGCAGAAGGCCCACTGACCAACAAAGCTGGCAATGTGGAGGTGTCGCCTGGCAGCAGGTGCAAAAATCAAGGAGCCAGACATGGGTATGAGCTCCTCTCTGGGTGATGCTGATTATTACAGTCTCATGAAATGAGGAACACAAGCCCCCCTGGCCTCCAGAGCCAGCCAGTCAGGAGGCATTCCCTGGGCAGCAGCCACATGTAAAATCTTCCTTCCTGGTGCTCTGGAGCACTCCGAAGGGAGAGTGTGGACACAGCACTTGCCAGTCTCCACCCCAGAGGATACTCCAGTAGGCTCCTAGATATGTGTGTTAAATTAGATGCCTGCCCTACAGGCTGACACTGTAACATAAGCAGGTCAACCTCCTTCATTTTATGTCTGGAGGCAATCAGGCTGCCTCTGAGCTAGGCCCTTGGGCAGGTATGTCCAAGCATCTAGGCCTGTTAAGAGCTGTCTTTTAGATCATGATAGTCTTGTGCATCTGGGACATGAGTCCTACTGGTTTTCAAAATTAGATGTTTTGGGTGCTCATCTCTCAGGTGCAGGTCCTAAAAGTTGACGTGCTGGATGTGGGACATGCTTCTCCTTTACTCCTCAAGGAGAAGGCCTGGGTTTTGAGTCATGGTCAGGGTTTATTGTGAGATTGTGTCCCAGCCTCTCCTACCCACTTCAGTGTGGTTTTCTTTTGCCTGATGTATAATCAACACCCAGCCAGCCTTTAGTTTTTGTTTGTTTGTTTGTTTGTTTTTTAAGAGGAAACTGTTCCATATGAAGCTATAGAGTCAGTGTGTCCATGGGGGGAGGTGAATTTGGAATCTTCTAACCTTGCCATCTTGAACCAATTCCCTTCTACTTTTGGAAAGTTTATTTGGCCTGCATGAGGTCTTTAGTTTCTGCCACAGCTCTGACTGCTACTGTTTTTTTGTTTTGTTTTGTTTTGTTTTTTTCTGCTTTCCCTTAAACAATGGAAACCAAGGACAGATGGATAAGACAGGCAAAACTTTGCCTGGCATGGCCTAAGATTCCTTTTTTTCTCTTAACGGTGTTGATCTCTTGAGTTTCTTTACCTTTTCTTTGTTAGAGAGATCTAGCCTTGCTCTTGTCCATCAGACTTGACATCTTTATATAACGGACACTGGGGCAGTGAAAATGGCTTTTAAACAGTGGTTTAATCACCCTAGACTATGATAGCCTGCTTCAGGAACATCCAGTTCAAAAGCAAATTCTTAAATTCGTGTGAATCACAACCAATTTAAACAACAATGTATTTAAACATTCTTAAATAAAAACCTAACAAAGCTTTAAAATCAAAACCGAAAATTATTTACTATAGTGGAGTTAAAAAGAAAAAAAAGACCATGAAAAAAAATTTCAATATATTGATACATCTTCACAACATAAAAAAATATTTTTTCTATCTTTCACTACATTGTAAACTTAATGTACATTAAATATATTTTTATATCATTTTTACTATCTGATGTAACAGATGCATCCAATGATGATGATGATTGAGTGTCTGTGTTTGTGTTCCCAAGATACAGGTGGAAGAAAGGTGATACCTACGCAGTTTTATCCCTCAGCTATGGTTTATGGCGTAAAGAAGAAAATTAGA